ACAAGTAAGAAATGGACAAATCAGATCACACCAAATGAAAAAGCTTCTGTATATCTAGAAACATTTCACCAGAATGAAGACAACCCATAGAATAAGGGGAAATCTTTGTAAGCTATTCATTGGATAAACTCTATTCAGAATGTTCAATTGAGCTCAAAAAATAAAAAACCAACAACCAAATTAATAAATTAGCAAATGAATTGAACAGTCAGTTCTCAGAATAAGCAGTATAAAGGAATAAAAATACATGAAGAAATATTGGCATCCTTAGCCACAAAGAAAATACAAATCAAACAACTGAGATTCTACCTCACCCCAGTCAGAATGGTTAACGTCAAGAAAACAACAATGCTGGCAAGGACTCGGGATGGGGGGGGCCCTTATACACTGTTGATAATTACATAAATCAGTGCATCCACTATGAAATCAGTATAGAGGGTTATCAAAAAATGAAATATATCTACTTTATGACCCTGGTCTACCTCTCTGGCATATATCTGAAGGAGTATAAATCAAAACAAGTGACATACCTGTACACTCATGTTTATACAGCACTATTCACAATAGCCAGCTATGGAATCAATGGATGGAACTAGAGCTCATCATGCTGAGTGAGATAAGCCAAGTTCAGACAGCCAAAATATTGCATGTTTCACTCAGATGCAGACTCTAGACATAGAGTAATAATTACAGGGGGACATTTGTGTTAAAGGGGCGCTGTCTAGGTGTGTGATCAGTAGAAAGGGAGGGGGGAAGGAGAGGGTACTGGAGGATGAACATAATTGAAGTATATTGCATAATATATGATATATGAATAGCATAGTGAAACTACTATTTGAAATGGGGTGGGTAAGGGAGTATAATAGAGGGAGTGATTTGATATAAGTACATTGTATCCCTTTCATGGAAGTATCACAATGAAACCCCTAGTACAATAATGCACCCTAACAAAAACTTAGTATATAATTTCATTTATATAGCATTCCTGAAATAACAATGTTATAGATGTAGAGAAAAGATTCACAGTTTCAGGGATTAGGAATGATGAGGGTAGTAATAGATTTGGCTACAAAGCATACAAAGAAATCAGCTTTGTGGTGATACAGTTCTGTATTTTGATTGTGGTAGTTTGTGACACTACACTTGTGATAAAATTACTTAGAACTATACACATGCACATGTACACCAGTGTTGTACAACTGATGAAAGCTGAATAGTTCTATAAGCAGAACTAATGTAAATATCTAGTTTTAGTATTGTATTATGATTATGCAAAGTGTCAAAACCTGGAGTTAAGGGAGAACAAGACCTCTCTATATATTCATTTGTTTTTTCCTATAAAACTATAATTATTTCAAAATAAAAGTTTTTTTTAAATCAATGTATTTTCTGATTCCTTCAATTAATAACTATTTTCTGAGGGTGTTTTTCCTATTGTAATAAACTATGTGATTAATGATCACATAGTATTTATTACATCAGAATGGCTTGGTAATGATGTTGCAGAGGTCTCCTAATAACATAATGACCTAACATAGTTTTGAGTTCATTTGAGCAAGCACAATAGAAAAATCTTAAAGTGGTGAAGAAATTGCATGAAAATAGTACTTGCATTAGGTGATGAATTTTATATTTATTTATATTTATTATTTTTCCAGTGCTGAGAATGAAACTTAGGGCCTTGTATGTGCTAGACAAGTGTCACTCTACCACTGAGCTGTAGCCCTCGAGTAGCTCTTGAACTTTTAAAATTCACATCTAGAATTATAGTCCACAGGTTTTTTTCTTTTTTATAAAACTGATAAATTAAGGTTAAAATAGGCTATTTGCTTATCCCTGAAAAATGTTTCTTCCTTTTGGATGCATGTTTTAATCATGTAGCCTAGTCTAACATTAAAAAATATGGGACTCAGCTGGGTGCTGGTGGATCACGCCTGTAATCCTACCTACTCTGGACAATAGAAATTCAATGCCAACCCAGGGAAAAAGTTCCTAAGACCTCCATCTCAACCAGTAGCTCAGTGAGTGGCACACACCTGTTGTCTCAGCTGTGATCAGGAGGATCATGGTTCTAGGCCATCCTAGGCGAAAAGAAAAAAGTTTGTGTGAGACCCCCATCTCAACAGAAAAGAGCTGGGCATGGTGGCATGCGCCTGTCATCCCATTTACTTCAGGAAGCATAAATAGGGGGATTGTTGTCCAGGCCGCCTGGGCAAAAAGCAAGATCCTATCTTCAAAAGTAGCCAAAGTATAAAGGGCTGGAGGCTGACTCAAGCAGTAGCAAGTTCAAACCCCCAGTACCACCAAAAAAATTAAATTATTGGGCTCAAAATGTCTATCTCTAAAATAAAGGCTGAGATAAATACCTATTCAGAAGGTTCAATTAGTGATATATTGCAAACTTATTATAACTTTACTCAACAATGCCTTTATCTATAGTAGGTTTACTTAGCTCCTGTTAATTCTAGAACATCATGGTGGAAATTATGGAGGTAATAAAATTAATATGATGATATCTCTGGCCTAAAAATAACTTTATAGTCCAATAGTAGATCATGTTTATGTGTGGTCAGTGCAAGTGTATAAAGTTGGTGTGGGTTCCAGGAAGATCAAAGCCATATACAGATCAACTCAGAAAAGAGTCCCATGCAGAGGTAGTACTTGAGCCATAGTGGGCCAAATGTGTGAGGATAGGAGGACCTTCTTCATGGGGTTGTGTTGAGACAGATGGCTCAGAAAAAAAAAAGAAAAGAGAGAAGACCCAATGTGGGTACAATGAATGACCACTATGAACTGACCTGGTAAATAGCATAATTTTTAATCCCAGACTGAGACACATGAGTGACAAGTTGGAGTTTGTATGATGGCAAAAAGTAGGATTGAATTTGACAACAGGATAGCCATAGGTACGGGAGTGTTTAGCCTGCCAAGGGTGAGTTAATTCACCTCCATTGAGATTCATGTTAGGAAGTCATAGCTCCTATTAGTTTTGAAATCTTGCTGTACTTTTCCATGAACACATGGAAATAGAAAATATTTTACAAATACATTTATATTGCAGAGTCTTGTTCTTTTAATGTCATATAGAAAGTCACATTGACATGAGTAGTTATTTTAGAGAGAGTGTTTGCTAACAGAGTCGCCGCTAACCGAAGCAGTAATTTTGGCAAATGTAACTAGGTGACAGCATGTGTGTGCTATTCTATAGTGTCATTCTGACTTAAATATAGACAGGTACAGTTACAGTGTAGTTGACCATAAAAAGCCACCTTTATGGCTACAAAAATACCCAGGAAGTCCTTTTATATGTGAAGGAAAACTATAATCTTATTTTCTTAAGCTATGTTCTTATTTTATTTTTGTGGTGCTGAGAATTGACCCACGGCCTTGCATGTGCTAGGCAAACACTCTACCACTGAGTAAGATCCTCAGTCCCTATGTTCTCTTTAAAACTTTTATAGCAATGTGTTAGCAATTACTTTCACAGAATGGATGCACAGTCATGAGTTTTTAGAAGCATATTAGCTGTTCTTAAGGGAAAAAGTTCCTACATAAAATAACCATTAGTAGAATCCCATTTATTTGGCCCTGCCAATGTATTTCTCTGTTTCCTATTTTGAGCAGGAACAAAAAGTGAAAAGGTACCAGACCCCTTGTTCTCAAGCCCCAGGTCTGTGGTTAATGACACTTTTCTTCCAGTACCCCTCTACCCATGAAGGATATTTTGCTTTTTCCCTTGAATCACACAGTCTTGATTCTGCCCTCATCATCTATTAAGGCATGCTCTCTTTTTATGTGCTCCATTCTAGCTCACTGCTTTACTTCTCCGTGATCATTTGCTGGCCATTGCCTCTTCTGTTAGGTCTGTCCCATGTGTCTATACTTGTGGACTCCCTGGCCATGTGCCTACAGGTTCTGCTGTGGTGCCACAAGGGCAATGCACAGAACCGAACTCTTTAGACAGCCAAGGAGGCCTAACCCATCACACAGCCCACGAGGCCTAACCAAAGAAAGGAATGCCAGGTAAACTCTCTAGAAAGCAAACTGATTAGATTTTCACATAGATCACATCCTCATCAACTGTAATTAATTGTGGTTGTACAAATTTTATATTGCTTATTGTGTGTACATAGATCTTAGAAGTGATTTATGGAAAAGCAGTGATGAAAATATTGATGAAAGGGAGAGCATGATGATTATTCTGATGGATGATATACTCTATACATTTCTCAAATTATAAAATTAGCACGTTTTAAATCTAAGCCAAACTGTAATAAATACTTTTATTAAGCTTAATCTAAGCAGGCAATTGGTATGATGAATATTGGCCTTATTGGGGGACAGGGTACTGTTAGAATCATTAAATATATTAGCTAATAAATACTTCTGACCATGAATTTATTAGTACTGTATTCTTTGTCCTTCTATCCTCCTCACCACCTTTCTTCATAATATGTATAGAATGTATCCTAGTTACTGTCTTAAAAATGTTACCAAACCAGCTCATGCTAGCTAGCATACTTAAATTTATTTTTCTGAATCATGTTGCCAAGAAAACAATGTAATTTCTTTAAAACCCAGAATATTACACAGATATTATGTTTTTCAATTGTGTGAGTATTTAAAAAGCAGGCTGGCTAGGTGTGATGGTACACAGCTGCAATTCTGGCACTCAGGAGGTGAAGCAAGAGGATCATGTTTTAAGGCAGCATGGGCAATGTGGTGGACCTGTCTAGAGAAAAAGCATCCTATCTTGCCTTTTAATGTAATTTAAGGCTAAAAACAACTATTAAAATATCTCATGGATCATTTAGCAATAAAGTCCTTTTTCTCAATTCCTTTTCACATTCACTACTGAATTTAAATTTAACCTTTTGGTTAAGTGTCATTATACTCAGAAAAGACATCTTATCTTGGCTTTCATGTACTGATTTTTCTAAAAGAAAATCAGTTTTATGATTCAATATTGCCTGTTTATAAACTTTGTGTTTTCTTTACAGAAATAGATATGTTAAGTAAGAGTTTGACAGTGTCCCAGAGAAATAAGGTATGCCTTGAAGAAGAGATGAAAAATCTCAAATTGTTGTCAGATGCAGCCATATTGAGGTCTCAGCAGATTCACATTTCAAGACAACAGGAAGTGAACTTGCAAGCCAGATGCTACAATTTGCAAAAAGAAGTACTAGGTAAAGAGAATTCTTTTTTGGTTTTGTTATCCACTAGCCAGCCATAAGGAAATATCTACATTTTTCTTAAAATCACAACAAAATCTTGATTTCCAGTTTTATCACTTGGAGTGCTAAGACTTAAGTGGACATATTAAAACACGGTTTCAAAAACAAAGTGGAATTTACTTTATCTCTCAGGGGATTGCTGGTTTAGAATACTGAAGGGAAACACAGCCTACAATGCTATGTAAGGTGAATCCAAAGTTACTTTCCATTTTTAATATTTCATTTTTAAAACTTAAAAATTTATGAAATAAGGCTTTAAAAACTGAGTGCTGAATATGCAACCATTCATTATAGTATTTTTTATATTTTATAAGAAAATATCACATTTTTATAATGTGATAATAAACATCACATTAAATTTACCATTTCAAGCATTTTTAAGTGTTGCAGTTCAGTATTTTAAAAGTATTTTCTGCAATAGGCATATAGAACTGAAACTTCAGACCTGATAACACTAATTTTCTTTCCCTTCCTACTCTTGGCAGCCACCTCTCCCCTGTTTCTGTAAGTTTGGGTTTTTTAGATTCTACATCTAAGCGAGATTACACAGTTTTTGCTGTGTCTGTCTTATTTCACTTAGTATAGTGTCACCTAGTTTCATCCACACTGGCATATATGTCAGGATTTCCTTCTTTTTATGGCTGAATAGTTTTCCATTGTAAACACCGTATTTTCTTTATTCGTTCGTTTGTCACTAGACATTTGGATTGCTTCTACCTCTTGGCTATTGCAAACAATGACGTGATGAACATGGGGAAGCAAATATCTCCTCAAACCTTGTTTTGAATTCTTTGAAATATATACCCAGAAGTGGGATGACTAGGTCACATGAGCAATGTCTGTATTGTTTCCCCAGTGGCCATGTCATTACACATTCCCGCCTAAAGTGTGTAAAGATTCCATTTTCTTCATCTTCACCAACAATATTTTCTGTTGGTTATTTGCGTATCTTTCTTAGGGAATTGTCTGTTCAGGTCCTTTGCCCATTTTTAAAATCCAGTTATTTGGTTTTTTTGTTGTTCTTGACTTACAGAATTTCTCATAAATACTGGATATTAACATTTTGTCAGATATGTGTTTCTCCAATCCCGTAAGTAGGCTTTTTACACTGTTGATTGTCTCCCTTGATGCACAGAAGTTTTAAAGTTTGATATAGTACCATTTCTTTGGTTTTGCTTTGTTCTCTGTGTTATTGGTGTTATATCCAAGAAATCACTCCCAAATCCAGGGTCCTAAGTTTTTCCCGTGTTTCCTTCTGAAAGGTGAATCCTATTTTTTTCTAGTCCTCCATTTTCCCAAATGAAAAGATTAAAAATTGTGTTTGGGGTACCTTGGACGAGATTTTTTAATTTTAAGCAAATTCCACCAAACGTTCAAGGAACAGGAAATCCTAATATTACATATTTTTGAGACAACAAAAAACTGAGGTCTGTTTCTCTACTCATTCTACAAGGCCAGAGTAACCCTGTTATTAAAATCACACAAAGATATTAAATGAAATAATATTATAGGCTTATTTACATTATGAATATTGATGTAAAAATTTCCACAAAATATTAGCAAATTGAAATTAATAGCATTGTTTTATGCTGAGTACATGATCAATTCTTACAAAAGTTTCCCTTAAAATATGAACTAAAATAAAATTCTCTACTTGAAAATCCTTGCAAATTTCTTCAAGCAAGTAAATGGTGAAACCAGGCTTTGTACCTAGGTAATCCAATTCAAATGCTTGCTCTCTTCCCCACCATGTCACATGGCACAATAGTTGTTGACACCTACTGAAAGATAACTATTTGCCAGTCACTGTGCTAAGCATTGACATACATTTAATTCTCAAATAGCTCTAAGACTAAGTATAATTATTATTATTATCCTCTTGATACTAGTGAAGAAATCCAGCCTTAGTCAAGTTAAGTAATTTGCTTTAGGTTACAAAACTAGTAAGTAACAAAGAGGCAATATGCACGACAAAGCCCAGAATAAAAGAATTAAATGTCACATTTCATTTGATATTTGGTTTATAACTGAAACCATGTGTACAGTGTTGAATACTCTTTCCAATGGAAATTGGCATTTTGGAACCTGGAAATCATTTACTCAGGACTTTTGTAGGAACTGTAAATGTATAACATTTATAATAAAAAGTGCTATCATTTCTTAATGGGCTTCCATGTAGAAAAGGAAATAACTTTAGTCTGCTTCTTTCCAATTAGCCCAACTAAAACCCAAAATTTAGAGTTTTAGGGAAGTAGATTTTTTTAGAAAATAACTCTCTTAATAGAACCTTTTAATAGTATGGGACTACCTTATAAAGAAGTGAGTCTGGATGTCCAACTTTCAGGTATATTATTAAAGGATTTCCAAGTTTTGAGGGGAGTTAGACTAGCTAACTTAGAATTTTAAGATTCTGAAGCCTCAAATGCTTTCTTCCTAGTGAGTGTATTATAAGAAAGAACAAATCAATTCTTAACTGTGAGTGTATGAAAGTTATAGTCAATTGAATATCTTATACCTGTGACATGAAATATGTCAACTTGGTATCTGAAGTTTTGATTTTATAAGCTAGAAAAGACAGGGATATAGCAAGCTCTGCATAAGAATTACTCTCGTGTGCCTTAGAGAATTAAAAGTCTTCTATATCCTGGATATTTTGCCTGACCTGGAATAGCTTCAGTGGGATTGCCCCAAGGTTGTAGATTCCAGGAAACTTTTTGGGAAGTAGAAGCTATCTCTAGCTAGATGGAGCCACACTAAAAACATATAAGGGTAATTAGACAAAAATAATTTTGTAGAATTCATTACATCAGGAGCTATCAATGTTAAACATATAAATAGTTGTAGAATTCTCTAATGTATGAATAGTTGATCCTCATGGATGATGTTTTGGAGCTTAGCTTTGATCTATTGTTAACATCTTACATTAGTATGGTACCTTTTTTTGAGGGGAGGGTTAGCACTAGGATTTGAATGTACTTGGGAGGCAAGTGCTCTATTGCTTGAGCCATGCCTCCAGTCCTTTTTCTCTGGTTATTTTGGAGATAAGGACTTGCTTTTTGCCCAGGCTGGCCTGAACAAAAATCTTCCTATTCTATACTTCCCACTGTATCTGGGATGGCAGGCACACAGCACCACATTCATCTTTTTTCTGTTGAGATGGGTCTCATGAATTTTTTTGCCTGGGCTGGCTTGGAACCACCATCCTCCTGAGCTCAGTCTCCTGCATAGCTGAAATGACAGGTGCACCCTGGCTGTTGGTTGAGATGAGGTCTTGTGAACTTTTTGTCAGGGCTGGTCTTGATATCAGCCTAGTATGCTATGTGTTTTACAAGTAATTAACCAATGTTGACAAATAATTATGAACTTAAGTCCATAGTTTATTCACATTTCCTTAGTTTTACCTAATGTACTTTCTATGTTTCTGGATCCTACCTAAGATGACACATTACATTTAATCATCATGTCTTATTAGACTCCTCTTGACTGTGACAATTTCTCAAACTTTTCCTTATTTTTTATGTTCTCAGATATCTGAAGGCATACTGGTCAGATATATTGTAGGGTGCCCCTCTATTCGAATTATCTAGTTTTTTTTTTTTCTCATTTTTACAATAGAGTTACAGGTTTGGGAAAGAAAAAGTACAGAGGCCTAGAGGAGTTTTCACTATATCTTTTCAAGAGTAAATACTACCAACATGATTCACAACTAAGATGTTGATCTTAATCAACTGCCTGCAGCAGCACTTGTCTGGTTTCTTCACAGTGAAGTTACTCTTCTCTCCCTTTCCATATTACACTCTTTGAAAGAAAGTCTCTACATGCAGTACAGGCTTGAATAGGAAGTTCTCTGTCTTTTTTAGGGAAGAAATCCCTATAACTTATTTGAAATTCCTCTGCATGGGAAATTCACCTCTTCTCCCCATTTCTTAATTTGTTATTTATATGAGTAGGAGTTAATGGATATTTACTTTAAACTTAGGTTATAATCCAATACTACTTCACTTTTTTTGTTCAGATTTTATAGCTTTGGCTATTTGAAGTTCTTTTGTTTGCCTTCTGTGTTTCTTTAACATATTCCCATCAATATGGGTGCTGTCATTTTTAATACTTCTTTATTTTCTAGCACTACAAAGAAAGCTCATCTTGTACATTTCCTGCTCCAGTCCTAGAATCAGCCATTTGTCCAAGGAGCTGTGATTTCTTCTATTGGGCGATGGCATTCCAAATCAAGAACAGGTGAAGGAGGATGTATATGGTGGGAATATTATGTACTCATGTATGAAAAAGGAAAAATGAGACCTGTTAAAACTATTCTGAGATGGAGGGGGGGGATAAAGAATGATGGAGAAGGTGAATTTAACTAAAATATATTGTAAGCATTTATAAAATATATTATAAATGTCACAGTATACTTCTGGTACAATAATAATATGATAACAAAAATAAAATTAAATGAAAGCAGCAAGATAAACAAAAAAAGAGGTGAGACCTAGTAGGAGGAAGTAAGGTCATTGGAATCATGCCCTTGGAAGAGCTTTTGGGACCCTGTCCCTTTCTGTCTCTCACTTTGCTTCTTGGCCACATGAGGTGAATAGGCCTCCTCGGTCATTTGCTCCCAGCATGCTGTATTGAGCTATCATGAGCCCAAAGCAAGAAAGCCAGGTGACCAGAGACTGAAACCATGAGCCAAAGTAAACTAGTCCTCCTTTTAAGTTGATTATCTTAGTGTTTTTTTCACATAAATGGAAATCTGAATAATACAGAAGGGTATAGAACTATAAATTAATGAACAATAGCAGTTTCCATCTCATTCTTCTTGGATAGTTGTATATCAGACTAGGTCCATTTTCTTCTCCGCCCTAGGGCATGTGGGGAACTTTCCCAGTTGTTCCCTCCTCCAGTGTTCCAAGCCTGCCCCTTTGCTCCCTTCCTCTCCACTACCTATTTTCTAC